TTCAGTGAAAAGTTAAAAAGTAAGTGCCAAAATATACATTTCAATTAAATGTGACTCCTAGGTGTAAAAAGACTGGCAGCTGCTACAATAAAGCATGATGACTGATAGCCTTAGCGTGCATCATTGTTTCTCCTGAGTGGATACTCTATCCTCTAATACAGTTTTTCTCAACCTCATGCTGGCTGCGGAATTCTGGGATTTGAAATTCACACATCTTTAATTTGTGGAGGTGGAGAAACACTCTAATGTAATGCCTCACTTCAGGACCCTCTCTTGGCCACCTGTTAACTTGTCATAGATGGGATATTCCAGATACTTAATAATTCTGAAGTAACATAAGCTGAAATCCTGATTGAATGGTTATGACCGAACTTGTTATCCTACTAGATAAATATGCACAAGAAATCTAGAGCATAACTCCCAACCAGAAATTGTTGAACACCTCATCTTCATATAGTCATAGCCTTGAGAAAGAGACACATCCACTTCTTAATCAATCCCATGTGGATCCATTGCCCCAGAGTATACATTTTACCCCTGATTCCCAGCAAGCTGTCTCTACCAGTTGATTCCAACCATTAGATCACAGATCACAGATGATTAAAAAAGAACAACAACCCTGAGGAGGCTCCCAGAGAGAAATTTCCATAGCCTCAAACCTCACTGCTTAGAAGATGCCAAGAGCTGCAGGAAAAGGACAAGTATCCTTAACAGATCAGGGAGGGTTTAATTGTTATTATCTTAGCCTGAACCCAACTAGGTGGTAGCACTAAATAAAGTCAGTTGATTTATAAAAGCTAAGCTGGGTTGGATATAGGTAGGACTTAAAGTCCACCGCAAAATCCCAAGGCTACAGGCTAGATTGGCAAATAATTAAAAAAAAAAAAAAAACCCTGAAGAAGAAATAGCAAACCTTTCTGCATTGTTGCAAATAAAATTATGTGGATGTGTCCATGAAGTTACTAGGAGTCCAACTCAACCTGAAGGTGACTTTGCTTTATCTTAGCCTAACCAAACCTGTCTCAACTGGCATCTTCCAGATGTGATGAGACTGTAACTCCCAGATTTCTCTCAGTATGGTTGCTAGGTGGGAATTCTGGGAATGACAGTCTCAACAGATCTGAAATGTATCAGGTTGTGGAACTCCTTCCATTGCTTAAGAACAGTGCTGAGATAACTTATTTGTCTTTGTCTAGAACTCTCAGTCAGGATAGCATCACAAGCCTGAAAAAAAGTTTCCAGCATCTATTGTTTTAAATGTAAATATAATGATTTTTGAGAAACAAGAAGAAATGCTATGAATAAGAGAACTTTATAACTTATCTCAGTTTCTTTCTTTCAGCACATTTCTGCAGATAAAATAATTTCTGGACTTCTCACCTTAAAATCTGTTTTAATTATATTTCAGTGTTAATGTCTTTATTGCTTTGTATTGTATTTTAATGTCTTATAGTACAAGGCATCTGGAGAGCATTGGGTTGGGAAGGCTGAAATCTCCAGCAAGATATATCCCACAGTAACAGTACAACAGACATTTATTACTATTTTGTGTTTCCTTTTTCTGAACAAATGCACTACTGACCTCTTTACCTAGTAATTACAGAAGGTTACTTTGAGCATGGGGGAAAGGTTTCTGTAATTGTAGTTATAGGTAATTATATCTAAATTCATGCCAGTTCATTACACAGTATACTATAGTGAAACTATGGTAATCTTGAACATGGAATTATATATATCTCAGGAGCCAGACCCACAATATATCCTGAAACTTGAGCTTAAGGGCTGACCAGTATGGACTGGATGAAAGCAGCCAGCTTTGGGCAAAAAAGGGAAGTACAAAGAAGATCCACCAAACCAACATAATGATCTGGTATTGACAATCATAACTTTTTAATGAAGCCAAAATATCCAGGAGCACTTCAATTATTTATGTAGATAAACAAGCTGTAATTAAACTGGTAAGCTTCTAATTAACTGTATTTTCCCATTTCTTTTAGACAGGAAAGCTCCAGTTATAAGCTTCAGAATAAGCAAGAACATTACCTCAAATCATAGTTCTAAAGCATATAACCTCAGTTTCCTAATTTAGACAAAATAAGAAATGTGGGCTAATTGAAAATTTCCTAGTTCAGTTACAATTCACATCAAAGAAAGAGAGAGGTGACTGATATACTGGCAAAAGGTTCGTATATCTTGGCTTAATAAGCCATCTCTATATCATCAAGATCAAAGGGACACCAATAATATTCTGTGATCCCATAAAAACTTCCAGGTCAGGCTCACTGATTGATCTAAGCAACTCTCTTTGAGAGAACTGCTTCTTGATTACATCTAGGAGAGGGTAAGCTTACATATCTTTAAAAATGATTTCTGTAACATGAAGAGCTGTAAGATGGATGTGTGTCTTGCAACCTTCAGTCTACTTTCATACAGCTCTTAGTCTAAATTTCAAAAGCTCTTTCAAAAGGTCAGTCCTGGCCTCTGTTAAGATATATCTGCAATTTCCTTCATACAGCCTGCTGTTTGGGAGACAGACAAGAAGAAAAAGAGATTTCAGAGAGACAGATGTTATTTCTCCATCTACTTTTGGCTCTAGTGTCAACGATATACAGCCCTCAACAGAGTACATGTGTGGGGATGTGGCCCTCAGCAAATAAAAGTTTCCCTCCCTTGGTGTGGAATAGGGTTAGGTAACTTGCAACCCCAGGGCATCGTGTGGTCCAAAAAAGGTTGCAACCACAATTGCTAAAAATGATGGCAAAGTTTCCCATCATTTTAAGGTAAGAAACGGATGGAAGCTACAGTATAAGCCTTAAAATAAGCATATTATCCCTTTAAAAAATGAAGAAAAGCCTCCAAATTCCACCTCAAACCACTCCTCAGCTCTTCCCCAAATGTTAACATGCAACCCTCGGCCACCATAAAATTGCCCATTCTTAATTAATGGAAGAATTCAATAGGTCAGATTTTAATACATCTTATATATGTTTACATGTTTACATGCCCAACCAAGTACAATTGCACTGACTCCCTAATGATTTATGAAATTCCATTTTCACTAACAGAGAATTTTGCTCTATTCTGTACTGTTACCAAAAGTATGCTATGCTCATTCAAGACACAGAAACTCCAGCATAATACTTAATCATTATTATTTATTTCTACAATGCTCAGTCATTATTGTCTTTTTAATGGCTGGATTAAATGATTAAATCAGTAAAGTTCCTAAGTAATATCAGAGCAAACCACTGATAAACCTTTTTATAAGGAGTACCAATTATTCTAATTTAATTCATAAAGATTTATTAAACTTGGAAAAGGATATATTGATCATTGATAAAGCAGATTAGATCTAGCTGAAGAGCTGTTTCTCCAAAACAAAACATGTTTTATTGTACATTATCCTCCAGCATGAACATTCACCTATGGTTTTCATGACAGGAACTATTAATCTGACACATAGAAAGAAGCTTTTAGAAACTAGCACAGAAACTACTTCCATAAATCATACAGAAAGGAAGCCAGATGGATGACAGAGAGAGGGCATACACTGTAATTAGTGTTCTTTGTTGAAATAATCTATGGCCTCTATCCAGGTTGGGTTCACCTATTCCATTATGCCATTATGCAACCTGTCTGAACTCAGCCAATATGTAACTTGTTTGAACTATCATAGAAACATAGATTTCAAAAAGTCATTTAGACCTCTGAGTCCAGCCTCCTATTTAATATTAGAATCTAATAAAAGCACCCCTGACAGATTGTTTGTCTAGCCTCTGCTTGAATACATCTAACTCACTATTTCCCTTGGTTCCACAACTTGTTTTTACCATTATTCAATGGTAAATAAGAATAAATTAAGTTTATGGCTGATACGACATAAGCCTAGCCAATTGTGGTTATTTAAACTATGATTAAGCAAAGATTATGCCATGCAGACAAAAAGACTCAATTCAATGCAACCCACTACTTGTAGATAATATTAAGTATCGAGCATTGTTTTCTCTACAGAGCATTAAAAGAAACTTCCCCATTACCTAAGAATCAAAAATGCTTACTGTATTACAATGATCAGATCAGTGTAGGTACTGAAAGAACAGGTATACACTGAGAATGAAGCAAATTCATGTAAGAGCTGCATATCCATCTAAAATAGTACAATTGTACAATAAAGAGATCCAACCTGTTCAGTCAGGTTGAGCTCTGTTTTCTCTCCATGATCCAATTGTCTGCCAAGGCATTTCACTGTCCTAACCTTTCAAGGAGAATCAAAGAACTGGCTCCTTATGATTAACAGCAATTGTTTAAAAGTAGTCATGTCTGCCCCCACCCCCTGTGATTTCCCCATGCCATATCAATCAGGGTTTCAAAAGAATCATCAGTAAATTCCACATAGCATTCAAGAATCCTATAAGATTCTCTACCCCTGCAGATATCCAAAGCCAAACCCTATTTAGTACTTACTTGTTTATGACAATTGACCTTTGTCAAACCTTGTCCTAATTACAAAATAAAAACAAACCAAACTTGTGCCCTGCAACACACATTACTTATAGAACAAACAAAAATCATTTGACATTATTTTAATTTAGGAGTACCAGAAAGACTGCATAGTGAGATGGATAAGGGATGTACAAACTTTTTTGGACAAAGGGCCACATTTGACCTTAAGTGATATACCAAGAGCTGCACTAAAGGTCCAAAATATCCAAAATAATTAAGTTGGTGAACCCAGGAAAAAAACTACATCATTTGATTTCTTTTATTTTAAACTTAATTAAAATTATTTTAATTATTAAATACAAGTAGCATGATTGCATGCCATGAGTTTAACTATTTTCTACTTTTGTCATATTAAGCATTTCAATTCAATAGCAACTTTTTAAGGAGTTCAGGGGGTGCCTGGGGGAATCACGTGGCCTTTGATACTCTGTACCTAGCACCAATCCAAAGCACAAAATTAAAGCAAGGTAACTCCAAGTATAGAAGAAGTCACTTGCCTCCCATTCCTGTAGGAAGTTCTGGGCCTCCTGAAGACTGATTGATTTGTGCCGCCTGAATTCATCTTTCACATATTGATCTCCCAGGGCTTTCAGTTCCGGTGGCAACACACGGTGAAGCTGAAGGATCTTTTTGTACAGAGTCCTTACTCGGAACACATGATGGCTTATATTGCCCGACATAATGTTTGAGAAAGTTCAGTATTTGTTCTAGGGAAACAATTTAAAAATAAGTGTGTCAGACAGCAGAAGTGATATAATCACTTAATAAAATGCCACTACAGTGCTTGTGATGGGTATAAAATAGATGCAGCTGGGAGGGTATGTATGGGACTCTGAGGATGCTTTCAACACCAAAGCCAATCTCTGTAACCGATGTAGACAAAAAGAATGGAAGATGCAGAAAAACAGTACCACATTCACCCTCAGAAAATTTTGAGTCCGGCCTCCACAGCTGTTAGAAAATTGCTACTAAACTGTAATTCTTCATGTGATGGAAACAGATTATTATACACATGTGGAATAATCAAATTATCCCTATTTAAACACATACAAATAATAAGCAAAAGAAATTACAGACATAAGGAAAAGGAAAGGAAATGTAGTTAATAACAACACCATACACTTTACCCCATTCACTCTATTTTTTTTGTCAAAGATAACTACCTTTATTTTTGATACATTAATTTCCAGATCCATATGCCTCACTGCATCAAACATTTGTTGCAAATCTAGTCAATAGAGCATTGTCTGCATATAAAAGTATACATACATTCATGTAATGAACACTCTTCTAACTTCACCACAAACATTCCTCATATTTTTATCATAAATACATTAAATAATACTTGGAACATTATATGTTGTTGTTCTAGTCCCTGTTGAACCATTCACTTAGCATTCCATTTATTCTCATGCATGCTTTACTTTCATCATATATCACTCTTACCATATTTAGAAACCATCCTTCTGCTGTACTTCATATTCATACAAAACATTAAATCACTCAAGCCTATGCACTTCATCATATGCATTCTCTAAACCACCAAACTTCCCTTCTCACATTCATATATTTCTCAGTAACCCGCTAAGACCAAAGTCTAATCTGTAAACTCCCTGCCTGGCATAAAGTTGCACTGTACTTCTCAAATTTTGCTCAATGTCAACATTGAAGAGGCAATTTCTTAAATATGACATATTGATCTAAAATGCAGCATTAGAAAGATACAGAAGTGTTTTCCAAGCTGATGCCTTCTAGATGCATCAAGATTTTGTTGGGAATTTTCAGTCAGCATGATAGAAATCCTACACAAAGTTGATCTGAACATAAACAAATGAAGGCTTATGTCTACTGTGCTGTGGTGATACAAGTTTCACTTGAAGTCTGATACCTTCCATTCTAGAAATGAAATATCTGTTGAGAACTCAGGTCGTGTTCATGCAGTTCTAGGAATATTCAAGATATCTAAATTGGAACCCTAGAGCACCAGAGAAGAAGTGGAATCAGATGACAGTAGGGTGAGACATCAGCTAAGTTATCATTCACGAGTTGTGGCTTAATAAATTGGCCAATCTCATGGAATTGGGGTGAATGTGGTTCAGTGCTTCATGGTTAATCTTTCGTTAACATACTGCATGTTCACAGTCGTCATTTTCAAATGAGAGAACATTCTGTCTGTAGTCTGCATTGTTATAGATACTATTATATTACTGATGTTTAAAACAGCTAAGTTTTGGTGTGAACAGCCTATTTGTGTAATAATCCAACATGTAAAATAGTACTTTAGTTTTACTGGGTGCCACCTAGTAAAATATAAGACTGTGTACCCCATGCCACTATTAGGTCTTATCTATGGGGCTCAAATCTGGGGTGGAGACTGGCTATAGGAGTCCCCAGTGAGCCCAAATGTTAAGAAAGCATCTCACTGCTCAACCAGAACATCATATTGGTGAAAGGAGAGGAGGAGGAGGAGGAAGTGGTGATGTTGACAGGAAGAGTAAGAGGCTCAAGGTACTTTGCCAAAGCCCTTCAGACCTGACAGCATGGCTGAACATATAAGATCCTACATTATCCTTAACAGTATCCAGAGTTAGCCATACAACTATATGCAATAATTTATGGAACTGATTAAATTATAATAAAAGTTTGTCTTTTATGGGCTTCCAGGTGAGGTGTTATGGCCAGTTAGACGTCTCTCCAAGCAGAGGCAGTAAGCAGTGGAATTTCCAGCCAGGAGACAGTTCTGGCTGACAGAGGAGGAAGGAGAAATTGGGAGATCAACCATTTGTACTCTGGTAGAGCTGCTCCTCATGAGAAAACTGCAGGAATGTAGTTTCTTGTGATCGGTCATGGGTTGAGAGGCTTGGGAGCCAAGGATTTACAACTTGCCCTAAATTGCTGTGCAGCATTTATGGATATTGGACTGGCAAAAGCCTCACCTTCTTAATCACTTTACGATGTAATTGCTTTACAACCTAAGAGAGATATTCCAATGGCAGTAAAGATCAAAATCTCTTGGTGAGTGCCTTCTTTCTGAAATTAAGAAAAGAAAAAAAAATGCTATCTTAAAGGATTTTAATTTAAAAGCAAAAAGCTTAATAAGATTGTGATATAAGAAAGTTTCAAACGGACAAAGAGGACAGTGATTTTAAAAAATAGAAGAAATAATTTTTCTGATGAAAGTGCGTTTGAAAACAGTAAAATTAATTAGACCAGACCTTCATGGGAATGCTGTTTGTTTATTTTTAAGGACAGTAATAATTGGTGGATTTTGTAAAACAAGAAGATAAGAGTAATATGAGCCAGACTGTATGACCGTGACTACAGAGTGCCAGTTGGGACTAAAGCTTTAAAGACAGAGAGAAGCAAAACAGGGAAAAAAGAAGAAGCAGCAGCTTGCTTTTTACTTTTGCCATAGTAATTGACATATTTTCACTTTCTCACCATGGCAACCACAAGGAAAGCTGCCAAATTGGGGCAAGAATGCAGGGGTTCATTAGAACAAATTACAGATAAGGGTATTTCATTAGATTTATTGCAGAAAATGTTTGAAGAATTTGGCAAAAAGATGACTGCAACAATAAGGGTATTTCATTAGATTTATTGCAGAAAATGTTTGAAGAATTTGGCAAAAAGATGACTGCAACAATAAGGGTATTTCATTAGATTTATTGCAGAAAATGTTTGAAGAATTTGGCAAAAAGATGACTGCAACAGTTAAAAAGGAAACGGAAGAAGGATTTGTGAGGATGAAAAAAGATATGAAAGAAGTAGTTAAGAAAATTGAAGAATCTGTAGGACAATTGGCTGCAGACTTAAAACAAATTACTGACAAAGTGGAAGTTTTGGGGAGTAAGACAGAAGTCATAAATAGAGATGGAAAAAGATTTGGACAACTTGGCATTATTGGAACTGAATGAAAAAGAATTCTGCTTAAGATTAGAGCAATTCCAAAAAACATGGAAAAGATATCAGAGAAAAGATTGTTAAATCTCAGTCTGATTTTATGGATTGGGAGGAAGATGATACAGATAGAGAGATCAATAAGGCCTATAGAATCAATACACATTTTGCAAAATTAAGAAATGTTCTGAGGGATGTCCTTGTGCACTTTGTCAGGAAGAAGACAAGAGACCAAGTTCTACAGCAGCATTTTAATACTAGACTAAAGATTGATAATACAGATGTAATTGTACTTAAGGAAATCCCAAATAAAATACTACACAAGAGAAAAGAGTACTTTTTCTGACAAACTTAAACAGAAGAAAATTCCATTTACATGGGACAAGTTGGAAGGGGTGATTTTTACTTTTAAGCAACAGAGACTTAGGTTGAATTCTGTGCAGAAAGCAAGGATTTTCTGAAAAAAATTAAAGAAGAATTGGAGGAGACACAAAGGGAAGTGACTAAACGAATGCCACAACAAATTCAAGACACTGAAGAAGATCCCATGTTGGGCTCTACAGGTATTGACTTTTCCAAAATCTTGGATTAATTATGAATAATAAATGCTTAACATGGAATATAAATGGGGAAAATGCCCCTCAAAAGGGCAAAAAAAATTCAGTATTTAAAGCAAGATGTGATTTGTCTACAAGAAACACATATTAGGAAAAAAGATATAAAATATTTAAGTCACAAAAATTTGGGAGAGGAATTTATTTCACCAGGATTAAAAAAAATGGAGTTGTTTTGTATATAAAGCCCCAACTATATCCAAAACTTATATTGATTAATGATTATGGCAGATATGTTGGGGTGGAAATCACTCTACAGGGGGCTAAGACTTTGATATTGCGAATGTATATCCCAAATGAAGATAAAACCACATTTTACAAAGGACTTACGGACAAACTTTTGGATTTTACATATGAAAATTGGTGTCTCCTGGGGGATTGGAATGGAGTGGTTTCCCCACAAAGATAGAACTTCTGAGAAAAATATTAAAGTAACACAGGGTAAATTACCAAAGACTTTTTTTGATTTAATGAATAACTTGGAGCTTGTTGATGCATAGAGACACAAAAATGGAGATCCAAAAGAATATACTTATTTTTCTGAAAGACATAGATCTTTTTCACGAATAGATATGATTTGGATTTCTAAGACTTTGGCTAATACTATCTATAAAATGGAGATATTACCAAAGACATTTTCAGATCATAATCCAGTGACTTTAACTTTTAAAAGGAA